TCTCTCTATAACGACCAAAAGCAGAGAAATTACATATAGGGACAGAGGGTTCGTTATAGAGAGAGTGAACTGTATTCGCATTATTATTATTATCTTTGCGTGATGTTATGTATGGGATAAAAAAATATCATGTCAATACTCAATATTCTCCAATTTAATGAGGAGTTTAAATAATTACGAGATAATTTTGGCAACTATTAATTATAATTATATATTATTATGACAACTACACTGATGATTATTTATTAAACCTTCATTTTTCACAGGCCTTGCTTGAAAAAGCATTAACATAAAACCTTGTAGCAAATGATTATTTTTAGTAAATAAAATTAATTTTTAACGTCTTTAATAAACTTTTAAAATAAAAATACCGTTGCTTTATTTTTCGTTTAAAGCGTTTTGGTAAAAGTAACAAATGGAGTGCCTTGGTAAGAAGGCAACAATTGTGGAACATTTGTAAAAAACTGCATTAAGTTATTGAACTAACTAATGTGTGTTAGTAACTATTAATAATATAATTTAGTGAGTGAGCAAGCATTTAGTACAAAGGTTGGTTAACTTATGGGTATTAGCAATGGTTATTAAAGTATTACCCAAAGGTTATTGGAAATACTAGCGGTGCTATTGTAATTGCAACGTAAGACCGTCAAACAAGCTGCTTAAATTGTTTTGTAAATAAACTAAAATTGGCCAGATAAAAAAACAACTGAAATAAAAGGAACTTTACAGAAGCCGTTGAGCTTTGTAAGAGTGACATTTTATTTATTTGCAATTATTTGGTACCATTAAGTGTATTTATATTTCACCGAAGATTTCTATGTACGATAGAGAAAATAGAAAAGGTTGTTTTTTTACAATCATTTGAACGAAATAAAGAAAATTCCAAAAACAAGGCACTAAGTGGATTTTGCGAAAGTTGTTTCAGCGCTTGACTACGGTGTCCACCGAAACTATGTCAAGATACCGAAACCTAAACCGAAACCGTACTGAGGAAATAGGCTAAAAAAAGGTTTGGATTAACTAGGATTAATTATAAAATTTGATAATGATTTTTTGATAATATTTTTTATAGTTAATTGACAAAAGAATTAGCGATTTTTAGTGAAATGTATCCATAGTTTGACTTTCGATTTAGGTTTTGAATTTCGGTAATGATGATGCTTAGGCTCCATAGGATAATATGGGAAATGTTAAGGTTATAATATCTTTTATGATATTGAAAATTTTGTTCTCTTAGCTTTAATTCATGAAAGGGCCGTCTGGGCTTTTACAACATCAGGTTCAGAAGGTTCAAAATGTCAAAATTTTTTAGTACCATCTAACTTCTTAAAGTATATTTCTAAGATGGATTCAATAGCAAATTAACAAAATCCATCTTATAATAGTTTTATTCAATACGACCAGCAGTACTGAAACATGATTCAACACAGCTGCTGTCCTTCGATAAAGTTTAACTTAATTTATAATTTTTTTTTCAAATAAATATCATTTTATAGATTTCAATTCAGAGATAAAATTGAGCAAAATTTTATGCTTTTGTCATGGTAAAAATTTGTTAATAAAATTGATTATAGATCAAAAAAATTCTGAATTAACTAAAGCTGAGCGAGGAAAATTTTTGGACCTTATCATGTCTTTTGTTAAACATGTTGCTGTGAACAAAGCTCTGAACAAGCCGAGTTTATACTTAATTCGAGCCAACTTGAAATTTAGTATTATTTTTTTTTATAAAATCATGATTTTGCAGACCACTGAAAACAATAGAATAATTATAAAAGTAAACAACAATAAACTATAATAAATTGTATTATAACGTAATTGAATTTAGAACATTTAAATCATCGTCAATAATTTTATGACAGACTAGAAAATTTCAAATGAGAACAATTAAGATTCCAATATTTGTGATTAATTTAGCATTTAAGATTCATTATACCAAAATTTACTAATCCAACGAATTTTATATTGATAATTAATATGTTGTTAAATTTCGTTGTAACGCGAATTGATTATGATTCGTTGGGACGAGTTTGTTTGACTGTATAAAATTTTCTCAGATA